AACTGAGTCCAGGTTTTCAGAAATCCACGTTTTTTTAATTGATGTTATAGTGAAATGCCATGAGAGTTTTGAAAGAACGTAGCGACTGTAGAGGAGAATCTTGTTTTTCGGATGTAATGGCTTCAGATCTATTTCTTTCATTAGGTCTGTCAATAGGGAGACTAATTCTGATTTATGTTCATTGTTTGTCATTTCGTAATCAAAGTACCTTCCTAGATAGCAGAATGATTTTCCACTTTCAACAGCTGGAATAATAGATTTGTTAATTATTAACTTAGGGAGGTATTGAATTGATTTGGTGAGAGCTTCTTTGATGCCAAAGGTGCTACATTTATCTACTCGAATAATCATGTCTGACCATTGACACCAAATTGCAAAACGGTTTAGTAGGTGTTGATTTTCAGATTCTTGGCCGGTTATTACGGCTGCGTCGTCAGCGAACTGGAACCAATGAATTGGGTTAAGAAGTTTATAAGAAAAACCAAACTGTTGATATTTCTCCGATTTTATGTGCTGGATAAAAGTATTAAAGCATAGGTTAAATAGTAATGGACTGAGGCAATCAATAATAATAATAATAATAATAATAATAATAATAATAATAATAATAATAATAATAATAATAATAATAATAATAATAATAATAATAATAATAATAATAATAATAATAATAATAATAATAATAATAATAATAATAATAATAATAATAATAATAATAATAATAATAATAATAATAATAATAATAATAATAATAGTCTTTATTAAAATACTCAGATACATTCGTCTGAGTTTACAATCGAAAGGTAATTGATCTAGATAGTTATATTTACAATGTAAGTTAAGAAGTGTAAAAAGTTTTAAAAAGTTTTAAATACATTAAAGTCTAAACAAAGTTATACAGACAACGATTTATAAACGACCTTTTGAATCTTTCTGTTCTCACTTGTTTTTTCCGGCAGCAGTTCAAGCAATGCATTGTCCTCAGTTGATGTTATTTTGTTCCACAGTTTCTTATCTCTCTTATCACGTATTTCTTTAATGCGTGTTCGTTTTGATATATGACCATTCTTATGTGCACGTTTAATGAATTTATCTATTTGGTTCAAATATTTACCGTCATATGCACAACCCCACAGCTCAATAGCAAAAGTAAATATGGACATAATTAGGTTACCAAACAGCAGATCTAATTGTTTAATTGATAGTCCATAGTATTTGCAAACTCTCATAATGTACATTCTACCACTTTCTTTTTTGAGCATTTCTTCGAAGTGCAAATCCCAGTTGCACGGATTATCTTGTAGAGTAATTCCAAAAAGCTTTAGCCATGTTTTTCGCTTAATTGAAGGGATAAGCTAAGGCAAAACTACAGAGGTGTGTCTGCGAACAACCATTTCGTACGTTTTTTCCAAGTTTAAGGGCATTCTATTCTCTTCCGCCCAATCCTGTAAACAGGCAGCTTCAGATCGAGATGTGTGGAAGTAACATCACAAACATCATATTCATCTGCATGAGTGGCGGAGTACATAACACCAACACACAAAATATCATATCATAGAATACACTGATATCAAAGGAACTAGATTCAGTTCCGAAATATCATCAGTTAGAACCAACTTGACCACGTAGCTCAGTTGGCAGAGCATTGGACTAGTATCCCAAAGGTCGCGGGTTCGATTCCCACCGTGGCCAAGCAAACTTTTCAGCTTGCTCAGTGTGGATGCATACTCAGAGTAACATCACAAACACCCTGAATTATGTTCCTAAGATAGAGTTTAAATTACGTTTATTATGGATAAGGGATAATTACAATTATCCATTGTATTTTTTTCAGTCAATCTTGGAAAAAATATCTGTAGACTTTTCAAAAAATACACCCAAATTTGAAAACATATTATGAAAATGTGAGCATTTTTCAAGTAAAGCAACCAGAGTAACATCACAAACATCATATTCACCTGAGTACATAACACGAACACACACAAATATCATCTTATTACTAATTAAACAAATGTTGATACTAACGCGTCAGGAATTCTTATATGTTCGTATTATAACATGCTATGGTGCAATAGATAAGAATACAAATTGCAAGCGAATTGTATGGATTTTTTTTAAAAATAAAAGATTATTTCGGGAGACCTATGGTGCAAGGTCAGACAATTGTACTCGTCAGTGGGTAGAGTACTGCCACTAAATGGGTTATTAAACAAACACATCTGCCAATGTCTTTTACTTAAAGGGTATTAGCAACAAAAAAAATTATTTCTTCATCTGAAAGAGCATGAAAAAATAAACCGATTGGCCGTTTAATGCTCTATTCTATCTCATCTAGTTCCGAAGTTAGACGCAAAAATGTGCAAAATATAAATTGCTGATTCAGCACAACGTGTGACGTCATCCCCGAGCCGACGGCGCGAAGCGCCGTGCGAGGGTACTAATTCCCCCTGGCTATTTACACCCGTGGAAACGAAAGCATTAGCGAAGTCTAAAGTTCATCAATTATCGCGGGCGTGGGTGACCAACGATGGGTGGTCATCCTCAATGATCTCAAAAATATGGCGGACTGTCATGAATAGCGGACACTGATTGGTCCAATTTAAAGTTTGCATTATAACGACTGCATGACAACAGCGAAATCTGTGGCGAAATAGCAAACATTTCTTGATTTGATGATTGATTAATATCTTGCAAATATATTTCATTTTTGCTCGCATTTTTGCAAGATTTTGTAAATTTCAAAAGTTTTCTCAAACGAAAGGGCGAAAGAATCGGCTAAAGGAAGGGAGCCGACGCTAATAAAGGTAAATTTGTTTTAAATATTGATTTTATAAGACTTATAATGGCTTTAAAGCTCGACGGCCTTTGCGTATATGAAACAACTAAACAAGACAGCATATAATTTCAGTGTATCTTTAAGATTGATTCCTTTTTTTATTATATTGATTTTTTTAAATAAAAAAGAAAGAAAAGTTATTTGCATGAGAGAATTTGAAATCATTTTATTGCAAACTCAAAGTTTATCGATAAAGCCATTTAACTAAAGGCAGTTTAGTTTTATAAAGACCACTTTAAAACGTTTTGCGAAGCGTTTGTGGTTGAATTTTACTTTAATTTAAATTGAAGCTTATATTACGTATAATAACATACCTAACATATACAGGGTGTATAAAAAAAAGCGCAATCCTCGACTGAAATGTAAATTGCTAAACAAATAATAGACGAAAACGTTAAAGTTTACATTCATTTTAAAGCGTAGCCATTCAGCTTTCTAACAGTGGGTTGTTTCTTAAATTTGACTCATTGGTTCGCGGGTAATAATACTTTACGTTATTGCGATTGGAGATTCAAAAAATTGAGATGGAATAACAAATCGTTCTCATGAAAATAACTGATTTTTTCATTCAAACCAAAAAATGTTGCATTTTATTAAATGATTGTAACAATAAGTATAATTACGGCTTTTCTTCCACTATTTTTAACTCAGTTTGAAACTTCAAATGCGATATAATTTTGGTTTGGACCATCTAAGCTGACTGACATCAACTTGCTATAATTTCTGTTTACATTACATCGCAATTCGATGACACTCTGGCTCAGACACCAGAATGTTTTGACGATTTCTAGCATTCGTTTAGGATTTTCAAACAACCTGGTCTCTTTTAAAATACTTTTAATTTGTTCTTACGTGGTTTTCCAGATGTAGTGACGACAACATTAAAGCTTAAAGAAGAAAATTCTAACATTTAAACCGACTAAACAATAACATAGTAAACTTGCATAATTAAACAGGAACTAAAAATGATAGGTTTTACTAAATCTTTTCCTGTGCAATTATTACTAGCATTGGAGACAAGGATAATAGTTTGTTTGAAAGAGAAAAGAACAGGCTTTGAAGTAAGCCCAAAAGCCTTTAACTAGAAATAGTATTTCGAAAGTTATTAAGCACAAAAGATGAATTGCGTTTATTTTGATACACCCTGTATATGTTGGGAAATTGATAATTTTGTAATTAAAAGTGATATTTTTAGGCGATTTTTCATTTGTAAGAATTTTCTTTAAAAATTATCGTATTACCATTACAACTGCTTTAGATACTTCATGTTTGGAAAATACAATGGTTTTGTCAGAAGGCGAGGGTTTCTGCATGCATGTATTTTCTAGTTAGTTGGGTAAGTATGTTTAATGAATACTTAAACTGAAGCATAGCTCAGTTATTATGGGCCCAAATCAAAAGAAATTTTGCGTACTGATTGTACTTGATGAGACGCGTTGAAAAACATTTCTAATTTTGTTGCCAAGGTAACAATGTCGTTACCAGGCCCCTTGCGCCAATTTTAGAAAGCAGCTTTATTCATCGTACTGATAAGGATAAAATAATATCAGCATACATATAGATAAATATATGCAACTAGTTATTCAAAATCAGTGTAAGGGGCCTGGGAACGACTGTGTTGCCTTGACAACAAAATTAGAAGTATTTTCCCATGCGTCTCATCGTGTACTATCGGTATGCAAAATTTCATTTGATTTGAGCGATTAATAACTTAGCTATGCTTCAGTTTACTATTCAATAAACATATTTACCCAACTAATGACGTCACACGTTGTGCTGAATCAGCAATTTATATTTCACACATTTTTGCGTATAACTTCGGAACTAGATGAGATAGAATAGAGCGGTAAACGGCCAATCGGCTTATTTATTCATGCTCTTTCAGATGAAGCAATAAAAAGTGTTATTGCTAATATCCTTTAAATATGACAAGATAATTAAAAATTACAATCTAAATGACTTTTTTTACAAAAGAGAAAAATCTCTCGTTATCAATATTGTCAAATAATCAGAATTAATTGATTTGAAAGAATTAATTAAGCGAAAGACTTACATTGGAGTGCAACGATTATTTCGCGAGTAAAGAGTCAGAGTTTTGGCTTGGAATGGATCATTTAGCAATCTCAATCGCAAATTATATTGTTTAACTTTTTGTGAAATTGAAATGCGTCCAAAAATCATATCTCATAATCTTACCTGGCTGCTGTTCTTCTTTTTAATTTTGTTTTATGTGTTACAGCTATACCTCTCAGGTTGCAAGGCCCATTAAGTGCATACGGCACTGGTCGCTTGGAAATATTCTACAATGGCACATGGGGAACAATCTGTGATGATTATTGGGATATTAATGATGCTAGAGTTGCATGTCGTCAACTTGGTTATACATATGCTGTTAGAGCTTTTCAAGGCGGTGATGTTCCTGATGGTACTGGACAGATATGGTTAGATGATGTAAAATGTACTGGAAGTGAACAAAATCTGGTCAGTTGTACTCATAACAGATTAGGAAACGAGAATTGTGGGCATTCTGAAGACGCAGGAGTACAATGTTCTTCAACAGGTAACATCATGCATCATTTTGTTTTCGACCGCTCGTACGAAACTCTGGTATACACATCAATCATATAACTCTTGCTAGAACATAATTAGCCGTTTTAACAAAATGGCGCCGCGAATTGCATCCCGGTTAAATAGATAGATAGATAGATAGATAGATAGATAGATAGATAGATAGATAGATAGATAGATAGATAGATAGATAGATAGATAGATAGATAGATAGATAGATAGATAGATAGATGGATAGATGGATGGATGGATGGATGGATGGATGGATGGACGGACGGACGGACGGACGGACGGACGGACGGACGGACGGACGGACGGACGGATGGATGGACGGACGGATGGATGGATGGATGGATGGACGGACGGACGGACGGACGGAT